CCCGCCGTTGCACGCTCAGAAGGCGGGCTTGCGCCGGCGCTGCTGGACGACTGAGTTGAGCGAGGGCTATCGCTATCGCGCTCGCGTTTCGTCGTCGGCGTGTTATGAGGAAGGGGTAGGTCGCCAATAGAAGCCAGCTCGTACAGAACGTCCCAGAGACGTCCTGCAGTATGCCATCGCTTTTCCGTATCCTTCAAGACGTTCATGCATTTCTCCACGCTCTGCATCTCTTGCGTGTAGTCCATGCCCGACGAAGTTTGACCTGCCCGCCGGTGACCCCATATATGGAGCAAAAGGACGATGGCAGCGGTGAATGACGGCATCTGTAGATCAGGGAATGCGCGCCCAGGGAAGTGCTTCCGGGCGGCATCCGCAATGTGGCTGATAGCGCGGGCGGCATTCGTGCAGATCGCGAGGGACGGGAAAGACAGCTTGCTGGGCTTCTGCGCTGTGGGGATGAACGGGCGGTGCACCATGATTTGCAGCTGATAATACTGCGAGTAGAGTACCGCGGATTGCACGAAAAAGGGCGCGTGTTCCGGAGATGGAGACCAGCGGACTACTTTGCGTCAGCATTCTGTGCTTGGCCGCAGGTGACATTTACTCACGATGACCGGGCACCCCGTCGACCCACTTGTTGAGCGTCGAGTCGAGTTCCGCCACAATTCTTTGCTCCCACTCCGCGCCGACAAAGCCCAGAAGAGCCTTACTCTTGTTGATAGAGTACTATGGAAAAGCTGTGAAGCTCGCAAGGGTTCATTAAGACCGTGTCGGACACTCACTATGGTTCGTAGGGCAAAGCCAACAATCTGGTTCAGTCGGATGGAGGCAATGAAGTACGCAATCTTCGACGGCTTATTGGGCGGCTGCTGAAAGGCCAAGGCGGGGTCCGAGTTCTCCCAGTACTCGTCGTCGACGTCCACGGGGAGATCCAGGTCGAAGCTGTCAGAACCGGGTCAATGAGGATCACGGCGCTGCAAGAATGGAAACCTACTCTTCTTCTTGGATCGAGCATGGGCGGCCTAACGACGCGCTCATCCACCTGTCGACGACGACAAGAACCCAGAAAGCACGCTTCCATAACTCATCCTCGACCCGTGGGGTAGAGCTGTACACCTTCCGCCGGTGCGCACCCACATCCTCCGCGAAACGTATACCCACACCACACATCGTCCAGCAGACTTGTGGGGCGGAGCAGCCGCTCAAGAAGAGGCATCCCAGCTATGTCATGAATGAGTCCATATACAGCATAGGCCATGTCTCGCTTACTCACGGCAAAGATCTGGACGTCGTACAGTGATGGAGGGACGAGGAAAGACTTGCGCGCCATTCGCACTTGCTGGAAGTATTTCCAGCCCGCAGACGACCACATAGTCGTGTCGTCCAGCCGTACCCGAGTATCCGTAGACCAGCGAGAGCCGATAGCGCACACAAGGAGCAAAACACTGCTGAAGGAGTCATCGCTGAACTGCAAGCTTTCTGCACGTAATCTGTCGAACGTAGGTCTGTGCAGTAACGGGTAGACCAAGTTCGAGTGCTCAAAGTAGAGGTCGATGAGGGACTCGAGAAGATCCGGTGGTGGAAGGTGGTGCATTCCAGCGAATTCGTGGTTGTCCAGACATAGAACCTCCCACGGATGTACGGTCCAAAATTCGTCCCTCTGGCCGCGCTGGAAGTCGCGTTCGTCGACGACCCTGCCAGAATATTCGGACTTGAAGTCAAGTGCCGTTTTGACGAGTCGCACGCCGGAGGATTTGCCAAAGAACCGGTAGCCCACAGAGAGATTGGCCATCTTCTTGTTGACCTCGTCGATCTGGAGCGCGTCCTCCTCGTCGGATGTAAGATGTTCAACGTTAACTTTGTGGACGGGAGTCGTCCCTGAACCCGAGCCGAATGTCATCGAAGAGACACCAGATCGCGAAGACATAGAATGTCGGTGTTCAGACTGTCGGTCGCGAGCCCAGCTCTCCTTGTCGATCGGGGCGCCGAGTTCTTTGCTGAAATCGGCATTGGGACACAACTGGCGAAGGGAACACACGAGAGTTGATACTTCGGATAGAGGTGGAAAGAGGGGTGCAGTACCTGATTCAAGAGCGATTCCATCTTCTCCAGCCTGTTCTCCAAGCTCTCGACATAACTAGAATGGCGGCGTCAGGAATCGTGTAGATACTCCGCTTTGGATCGGATATCAAGCTCACCCTTTGGGAGGGCCGCGTTTCTACGCAAATAGGAGTCAGCATCTCGATCCGAGGGTGTGCATTAGTAACACGACGGCGCGATAGCATGTAGCGCATGAGAAATCCAACTGAGCGGGCGAAGACGAAGTAGCGTAACGGCACGAGTACGCGTCAGGTTGCTGACAGGATTGCAAATGACCATGTCGCCACCGAGATCCTGATTGGACGGAGATGTTGCCGCGAATTGTGGCGAACGGCACGGGACAATCGGTATAGGGGAATACCTGAACCCTTGGGAGGACTGGATAGGAAGCGGACGCGCAAGACGCATGGGGCGGGCTTGACAGGCAGTCGACGAGAAGGAGTGGAGGGACGAATCAGGAGATTGACTACCCACCTTGGCCGCCTCGACATAAGTGCAATCCAAGTTGTACGCGATACAGTTCGAACATCGGTTTCCAGGCATTGAGCCACCATCGCCTTCAAATTCAAATTCTATTGGGACCCTTGTGCTTGGTGGAGGTACGACGTGAACTCACAACGGACTACAGAGATCGCGAGGGGCGAATGTGCACATGAGCATCGTACACATTCTAGACCCGCGCGCGGGTAATAAGCGCAAGGGCGCACCTTTCTTGCGCCGACATACATCGCAGGCTCGCTGCACCTTGCGTTTCTTCGCGTCGCGAGCGTCGTTGGAATCCTCTTCAGCGGACGACATGGCAAGATGAGGGTGAGAGCTGAGTTGGCAGTTGCAGTGCTCTGCACTCCGCGTCCGACGGATGTCTTCCCGCGCGAGTCTTATGAACATTACAAATGTGGCTCTAATCTCCTTTTCTTATGCGGTTACGTGCTTCTCCGGCACTCTGCTAGCTCTCGGCAGCGGTTTGACTCGGCACGGGCATTTGCGGAATCGTGGCTCGACGAATATAATACGCTACGCCCAGGCCGGCCACGTATCCATATGCACAGCTTCAATGTAGCAGAGTCTCAGCGCCATTGGGCAGACGACCTCGGTTCCCCGAAGGTTCAAGTGCACGACCTTTCTAGATCTTCGACGAGTGTCGTAAATCACAGGCCACGCATCTGCAGGCAGCAGCTATCCAATCAGGTCCTCGCTTGGTGGGACGATTGTGGTTCGCTATGTCTAGCAAATTCCACAATATATTCGGCGCATGGTGCGATGCCTGCCTCAGAGCTCAACACTTTACTAGATACCATCCTCGTTGCCCGAAAGGATGTGTGTTCATGGCGTCCACGTCGATACACCCAAGATCGGGCACGTTCTAGGAAGAGGTGGAAGTAGGGAGCCCACTCCTAATCTTAAAAGGGTTAATGCCATCAAGGCGCCGCAGCACTCCAGATCTGCAGATCTAAAGGGTGTACACAGAGTAGACAGGTTCAACAGGTATCAGTAAAGTGCACATCAAGTGAACAAGGTGGAGACAGCGAAAAGTACGAAAGCAGCATGCACGATACGAGTGGGTAATCGATTGAAAGATATCGGCGGCGTCGCCGGCGCGCAGAACAACGAAGCTCTGACACACATCGACGAACTACCGAGCCTCCGCGCCCGGAGCCCGAACAACGCACGACATATTATGCATTATGCTCGGCCCTTGCCCTTGTTCGAAGACGGTGCCCGCTCATAAGCATTGGTGTCATCGTCGGAGGGCAGACCATGCACATGCGAGCACTCGTGTTCGTCGTGCCGATGAGCGTGAGAGTGATGCTGGTTCCGTCTCCTGGCGAAGTTGCCGGATGGGCGTGCAGACGAGGTGTCCGGCTCAGAATCATCGTCATCATCTGAGGAAGAGTCTTCATCGGACGACTCGTCGTATGCTTTGGGTTTGTGATAGATACAACAGACTGTACAGATGAAACATCTTTGTCAGCGCAAATTCTATGTCTAGTTCTTGCTCATACGCACTCTTTGATTTCTTCTTGCCCATACCCTCATTATCTACAACGTCCTCTGTCCAGGTAACTCTAGGGCCAGGGTGACGATCGCCCCGGAGATGCAGAACACCGGCGATATTTGACGGGCCGGCGTTCCCGCTTTCTTCAGGCGCTGGTGTTGGTGTGATGGTGACAGTGCGCGAGCCATCCCGAGGAGTTCCAACTCTTTGAGGCAGTGGCATAGCGTATATTCACGCAGAAGTTGAGCGGGATACGATTGGTGGAAAGCGAGATGGGTGTTGCGGTCAAGTCGAATCGTAACGCGGTTTGTGGCGCTAACCACCTCGTGCTCGGCAACTTCCACGGCCTTCTCGACGGCCCGCGCCTGGGATAAGTGAGCATACTCAAAGTCACTCTTGAGCTGGCACTAATTCCAGAGATCATTCCCGCTTGGTCTATGAGGTCGTAGCAGTTCATGAGATACATCAAATCGTTACAGGTGACGTCACTATATTATTTGAACCATAGGTGTAGGGTTGAATTGTACATGGTGTCGACCGCTCCTTGACGGCCGTTGGTGAAGGTCAGAGTATCCAGTGTAAGGGTATGCCGTCCGTGATGTGTGATGATGTCTAGATGATGCTCTGGGTGTTGCTGTGGGAGGCATGCGACTCTCTATCTTACGATGCGCTGCATTATGCACTTCCTGACGAAGTTGCGAGCGAGCGTCCATGAGGATCTGCCCATACCGATTCCCTCCGCGGCCCCAATCCCAGTCAGAGGCATCCCAGACCAGCTCCCTAAAGCCTGTATCGAGAAGCAAGGTTCGCATGCCTGCGTCATCCGAGCTGAAGGCGGCAAGAACCACAGTCTTGTACACGCCTGTCAGGCCTTGCACCCATCCGGAAGGTGTACAGATCGCGTTCGACAAGCGCGCTTCCCTTCTTTCAAACTCCTTCTTGGGGAGGCCGGGATCGAGGTTCTTGATGACGCGTGCCAGCGCTATGTCGCCCGCCGCCAGCGCCTTCCACCACGATACTGCCTGCGCGACGGACCAGAAGTGTCTTCCCTTGAGAATAAACGGGCGAGGAAGACGGCACTCCGGCGCCAGCCATCTCAAAGGATGATACGTGTGGTTCGAGAAGTACAAAGGCTCCTCTAGTGGAGGAGGCTGAGCAGGACTCGTATAGTCTGATGAGATCTGGGGGACGTAAGGGGTTGGTGGCACGCCAGGACGGTCCTTGAGTGCTGGGCCGTAAGAATACGAGGTCGCAAGAGACGCTCTGTGTGGCCTACTTCGGTGCCTAGACGGCATTGCATAGTTCGAAGTACTAGAAGAAGTGTCGATACGTGCGGATGATCTCTCGCGCCTCGGTCCTGACGAAGCTAACTCGCGCCGTGTTCTCGATGAGTGCGTAGTTTCAGGAAGTGCTGCCGACGCGACTTGCGGCGTATATGCATGCATATCGGCCCTGGAAGGCGGAATCCAGGAGGGAGGATTGTAGTCTATGTCGGGTAGGGGTTGATGCTGTACAACCGGCGTTTGAGTTGGGAGTCTCGAAATGTTAGCCACAGGTTGCGGAGATGGACGTGTGTAGCCAGAAGTCGACTTCCGCCGTCGACGAGACTCGTCATGTCCAGGGAGGACCGGAGCAGATGCGCGTGTTGTACGGCGCGGAGGATGCACAGGGGAAACGTAGGCGTTGTATGGTGGCGTCCTTGTGGGCATGGCAGGGTGGGTAGACTCTGATTTGGACCCTATGCGCAGGATACGCTGTAGGAACGACGAAGGCGCACTGGATCTTCGCTTCCGCTTTACTTGAGGGGAGCTGGAGAAGGGGCTTATTTGAGGTACGAGTGGATCGTTATAAGACTGTGCGGCGCCTCGGCGGTTATCCCTGCACATGCACGGAAAGAGGCCACACAGAGGTGAACAAGCATTTCCTATGCAGATGTCAGAACGACAAATCCGAGAAGTGGTAGGCGTGACGTACGTGTGGGTTCGTAGGCTTCTAGCGGCACCAGAGAACCTTTCGGTGGCGCGACATGACGGTAGGGGACAAACCGATAGCCGCTAGGACCAGGTCCGTAACCCTGCGGCAAGTGAGGTTCTTGAAAAGCTGTCATTATTGGTCTCGGTGAACAACAGAAGGGAAGTGGGCCCTTTCATGGCTACGTCCATGCTCATATAAGGCTCATCCACAGGAAAGCGCATGTTGGACAACCGAGAACAACAGCGAGATGAAGGTCAGAGCATACACAGCCACCCGATGTTCGGTCCACACATATCCCAAAGGAGAACAAAACATGTCTGCGTCCGGGTATGGTGGCGCGCGGCGCCCTGGGTGGCACGCAGCGAAAACAAAAGAAAGATCAGGTAACGAGAGGAGGTTAGGGCTGGTGGTCAAAACGTCGGAAGGCATGGCAACCTAGCTTTGTCACCGACATCAGCCTAACTTGAAAGCCTTTTCGCTTTATCGGTGTACACCGAGCGTCACAATCACGGACCCGAATACACCGCATCTTGCGAGCTGGCCGCTCGCAGCTCAAGGGCACTGCCGGTCGAGCATCGGAGCGCGATGATACTCTCTCTAGATGCGAGAGTCGCACAGATCCATTTCATTTGCCGCGAAAGCCTGATGCAGTCTTATAGCGATGAAGTGTATGAACGGTAATCTGGTCCTGGGTGTAGGTGAGGAACCTACGCCAGCTCGCTGCGAGAGTGACCAGATTCTGCGGATTTTGCCGAGTGAACTCCCACGGCCAAAAAGAGCTCAAAATCATCTTTTATTATTATCGTGATCATTATAAACCGTAACGGTCGTCATCTCAAGCCATAGAGCACATCCATAAGGGGAATCCTGGTGTCTACCAACGGCGAACCAGGGCGACTTCGCAACGCCTCCCGAATATTCATCAAGAATATGCCGTAGGCGTTTTGTCCATCCGGCTTCTCTCTTCCGCGACCCCAAGTCATACTGTTGACATCCCAGAAGATGGGCCTATCCTCTGTCCCGTGGAGGAGCAGATCTCGTACCTCGGCATCAGGACCTGCAATCTTCGCCCTTGTCACGATATCCGCACAAGCCATCTCGTACATCGCCCAACTCGGCGTATCCGGCGTCTCCTGATACAACCTGAGCGTCTCAGGTACGAAGTTGTCGTCGAATGGCGAGAGATTGAGGATCTCTTGCTGCCTGGCACGAGAGAGGGCACGATCTTCGTGGGTGGTCTCCTCAGGAGAGTACATGTAACGGTATGCTTTCGCCCACGCCAATCCTTGTGAGACCGACCAGAAGTGATGCCCGAAGACGGTGAACCGTACGGCGGTCGCTGCTTCGGGGGCGAGTATCCAGAATGGATCCATACGCCCGTAGCGTACGTGGATTGGCGGCGAGGAGCCATCTTCGATAAAGCCTTCCGGCGATTGTGGCGGAGACCCGTAAGCTCGCAGGATCGGGCTGAACTGGATACTCGGACGTGATGGCTGAGGATGGGCCAGAGGCGTCTGCGCCTGTAAAGGTGCAGAAGTGCCCGAAGCGCTAAATAAGCCAGGGTCTGGCCGTGGCCGCTGAGCTGGTTGTGGAGTGTCACGAGCCACAGCGGATGTGGAGACGCCCATCGCTCCCAACGAGGAATCGGGCTCGTGCAGCGCTGAGGTCGGAGCTCTAGGAGTTGCACCCGGCGTAGGCAGATGAGAAACAGGTCCCCTGTCACTGTCTCTACGTGCGTTGCGTAAGATGCTGCGAGGAGTACGTGTTGTATCTCGATGAGCAGGTTGACGCGGCGTGAACACAGGTGCAGCTCCAGCGGGAGGCTCTATAGAGGGGCTTCCAGGACTGGAACGCGGCTCGGCGATAGGATACCGGGGCGTATTGGGGTACCGACGAGGGGACGAAGGGGGTACTCGTGGGGAAGGGACATAAGATGCGGATGGTTGCGCAGGTGTCATCGGCGGAGGTGGCGGGGAAGGTGGCGGAGAAGGGTAGACGGTAGTTGGGCTGACCAGCCCGACGGCGGCCGACTGTATTGGCTCGTTGACTGCTGGAAGACGACTAGAGCGTGATGTGGCGGTGGCGGTCTTCTTCGTTCGCAATCGCGGTCGCGGTTGATCAGAGGCCAACTCATCCAGAGCATCAAGCAGGGTGTCCAAGAAGGGATGTAGAGGTTCTGAAGCGGCCGTGGCGTTGCTCACGTGTTGCAGGCGATGTCGCGCATCCTCGACGTAGAATGTGATGGCAGGTTCATCGCTGGCCGGACCAGGAGAAGGGTTATGGCGTCGAGACCGAGAGGGACTCCTTGAAGCATGGCGTTCCCTGTGTCCCCTGCCTGCAGAACGCCTTTTCGCTGCACGCTGATCTGCGGCACGTATGCGCTTGAAACTCTCCGGAAGTTCTGGTAATGGATTTGGGCGAAAGAGCTCGACCACTTGGACGGGCCTGGGGTCCCAAGTGTAATAGACTCCAGGGTCTGCGGTCTGCACATAACTGGGCGCCACGGCCGATGCCGCGTCATCCACTCCATCGTCGCAGCGACAGCGACGGGTGAAGAGAGTGCTCAAGCGACGACCGCCTGGAAGAACACCACCACAGGTGTCGCACTTGACTGAAAGTTTGTCAGAAGAATGAAGGTGTTGATTAGGAGCCATGCTCACGATCGGGAAATATCATGGTTCCTTTAGTGCGATATGTCCATTGCGGCTTCATAGGCGCGTCCGGGAAAGCGGGAGGATGAGGGCCCGTGTAGTGCAGGTTATGGTTTACTCGAGCCTTTCTCGGCATGGTGTAGGTGTTGTATGCGGGGTATGCGGGTGGTTGTGATGGAGCATTGACGGGTGCTTATAACATGGGCCAAGTACGGTGGTTAGCGCCAGCGGGTTGGGAACAAGGTCAATGAAAACAAAACAAGCCATATCGAAGAACAAGACCGCGAAACAATTGGGACATCTCAACACCCACGGCTGTTGTGAGCAGCGTGGCAACGGGGATCGTTCCCTGGAGACGACGAGCTTCAGGGATGTTGTGGCCGGTGCATTGAATAGCAGCTCTGTGGCGCCGCCTGGCGCGGAGTGCGGCCTTGCCAGAACAAGAACAAGAAGTTCATCGTGCCTCTCGATGAAGCTTGAGAGCTATAGCCGATGGTTGTGGTGGGTCCAGGATATTGTACAGCATGCGTACATTTTCGCGACAATGCCAGACGCAGGACACGACATGACTGTTCGGGACAAAATGCGGAGCCGCGCACCGCGCCCAACACGACGCGACGCGACGCAGAGCGCCACAGCACCGCGGCTTGCACTACCACCACCATGTACCTCGACCAGTATACGACTTGACGCTTATGTAATGCGCGCGTTCTACAAGCTTCCATGGCACGTTCATGGGTCTGTTTCGGGCTGAACTCGAGTTCGGGGCTTGTCTCGGAGCAGTCACCCTTGACAGGCGGATCGAAGTTGCGCACACAAAGGACACTTCCCCCGTCACACTTTGCACGATAAGACTAAGAGCCCTTTCCATCACCGCGTCTGTGATATACACAAGCATACCTTGAGTATCTTCACCGCTACTTCGTGTGCTGCCTCTAGAATGAGCTACCATTGTCCACGAGCTCCTATCCGGCCCCTAAGCACGCCTACTGCTGTCCGAATCGTCTCCCCTCGCTCGATGATTCGGATACTGCTCTAGGAGTCAACTTAAGCGTATAAAACTGACCCGCATACTTACCAGCAGGACATCATCCAAATAGCTCTCTTACTCAATCACTCAATCGCTCTCAACTACCCACAAACATGTTCACCACTCGCTTTTGCACCTTCATCATCCTCGCCATTGGCGCTTCAGTCGAGGCCGTTCCCGCTCCGTGAGTACCTCTCATTCTACCCCACATGTGGCGATACTTATGTATACACAGTATGAAGCGCGATACCGCAACCCCGGCCCTGGCGGCGCGGGCGCCCCAGTTCTCGGTCAACATACCCAACAACGTCCCCGTTTCCGGCACATTCCCGAATGGCATCACCATCACTCCCCAGACGCCTTCGGGCAGTATCGTCACGGGCAACAATAACTCAACGCTCTTCGGCCAGTTCGGGTTCAAGCGCGACGACGGCGTTGAGGCTCGCCAGTTCAACTTCACTCTTCCGAACCAGCTCCCGGCTCAGGGTACACTTCCGTTTGGTTTGACTGTCACGCAAGGTGCACAAAATAGCACTGTCGGACTGCCATCTGGTTTCCCGTTCAAGCGGGACGGCGACCTCGACGCTCGTCAATTCAACTTCACGCTACCCAACCAGCTTCCTGTCGAGGGAACACTTCCATTCGGCCTTACCGTCACGCAGGGTGCACAGAACAGTACCGTTGGTCTGCCGTCCGGCTTCCCATTCAAGCGTGGGCTCGAAGCTCGCCAGTTCAACTTCACCCTCCCGAACCAACTTCCCGTGGCCGGCGCCCTCCCATTCGGCCTCACCGTCACCCAAGGGACGCAGAACAGCACCGTCGGCCTACCCTCGGGCTTCCCGTTCAAGCGGAGTGACAGCGCTGCACCCCGGGCGCTTGCTGCGCGTGATGGTGATGCCAACTACGACTACAATCAGCCCGCTTACGGTTGCGATAACGAGGATGGGTTCGGCCTGCCCGGATGGGACGCTGAGTACGAGGAGCACTGCATGTACCTTCCGCACCGCGATGATGATGCGGCAGAGGAAGATGGCGTTGGCGTTGACGCTGACAGCGATATTGAGGTAGAAGCTGAGGCTATGGTCGAGGCTTCTACCCAGTGATGCGTTCTTGCCTGCTGTACATACTTCATTCTGGGTCGGACACCTTCCTCTGGGCTCTCGGATACCATTATTCTTAGTTTATTATCTTGTGCATACGTCTTAGACTCCAATCACAATTTCCTCCAACCATCCTATTTGCGTGCGGAACTGGAAGGCGCTGGCGTTCTATAACGAATAGAGTGTCCACCGTACTGTAGCGTGTGCGCAAGTCTGTGTAATATACATTGCGAGCTCGAACCGATATCCCAAACATGCGAAGATGCAACGTCTAAACGTCCAGAACCCTCTTCATAGCCTGCCATACTGCATAACTGACAGCGTTCATGGGTAACACCTTGATCCACCCGATAGTCAAACCCACATAAAAGCCCCTCCACCCGCTCTTCGTGTAGATCGTGCGTATGGTTTCTCCCCATCCTAACCACCGATCCGGTCGCGTGAGACCGCCAACTTGCATACGTCGTCGGACGACCTCGAATGGATACGACGCGGTCTGCGCGAATACGCCTGCTGCGGCACCTATCAAAAGGTCCATGCCAGTGTTAGACTTCCGACGGGTTGAACCGGGCGGTGGTGGTGGAAGTAGCCAAGAACGAAGTTGACCCCACGCGAGAAATGACATGCCGGCGTAAGGTACCATGCCAGTGAGCGACACGGTGAAGCCCCGATAGAATTTAAGCACCGGCAGCGCCTCAAACAACGAGCGAGACGCCTTGCGGGCAACTTCTGTTGTTGCGGATGCGGAGGGTGGAGGAGGTGGTGGCAGTGTGCCTTCGGAATAGATTAGGCGGGCGGCAGAGAGGAAGGATGGTCGGACGGGTGTCGCTGAGGGGTTCGCTTGGGTGTGTTGCGTTTGGAAAGCCATACGGACACGGATGAGCTCGAGCGGGTAGGTCAGGAATACGGATGTCGTTCCTGGATAATAGCCCTTAGCGAACTTGCCTATAGAATGGACCAGGTTACAAACCTGATATCGCGCCTGCTATGAACCGCCGGACATTGGTTTCATCTGCCACTGTCGGCATCAAGTACTATGCAGAAGTTGAATGAATTGTTTCTATGCGTGAACATGCGATGACATACATCATGGGCCTGGTCATAGGCCAAGAATTTGATGCCTGCATAGGGGAAGACGCGGAGGAGTGTAGCCGAGTGTCCTTGCAATAGCCCGCGTACACCCGTCTCCTTGAATATCTTGCTACCCGCCTGGAAGGCTCCCGTCCATGATCCTGAGTCGTGTTAATCAACTGTGTCTTCCAACCGCAGTGAATATTACGCACCAGCATATTTCTGAAAGTCGGGATTTGATGCTTGGAAGAGGATCTTGACGCGGTCCAGTGGTGCGACGACCGTCTTCGCCTGTAGGATATATTCAGTACACTTTATGTGATATTCTTGCATCTTTACGCACGACACAGCCGGCGATGCCGCCGGCAACACCCTGACGGACGAGGCGGTCATAGTCGTGCTTCGGCTGGGATTTTGTCGGCGCAGATGCATGGGTGCTCATTCGCGGCCGGTCAGCGTCGGTGCCCTAGCATCGACAGGACCAATAGCGGCGGAGATAATGGTGGTAGGGAGGATGGTTGGGAAATGCGGGGTAAAGGTAAGACGGAAGAGTGCCGAGCTCGGAGTCGAACACGGCGGGGCGCCGCGCGAGACCGCGCGCGTGATTTCTTTCGCCAGACGCGCTCTTGACAGGCGCGCGTCGCGTCGACGCGTTTTGCTCCTACCCACCACCTTTCAGCGTCATGGCTCCCAAGGAAGAAAAGAAAGTACCTACTCTCAAGGGCCAGGATGGTAAGTAGCAGCATGAAAACGAGTACGCAGAACAATGACGCGCATATAGCTGAGGACGCCGTTCTCCAGTACATGCTCAACGTAGGTGCACCTCCACGCGTGAAGAGCACTACAGTGACCCGCATACATCGTAGATGAACCGCCCTTTCGGGTCTACCGATGTCGCGACAAATTTGCACAACTCCGTGCCGAAGACACAAGTCGTGAAGATCCTTGCATCGCTCGCAGAGAAGGGCGCTCTCACCATGAAACCCTACGGTAAGCTATGTGCTTGACTCTTTCGGAGTCTAAACTGACGCGTCGCCTCTAGGCAAGGTTCTCATTTACGTTGCTAATCAGGCAAATATGGACACATTAGGCAGAGACGAATGCGACGCGCTCGAGAAAGAAGCTAAGGATCTCGAGGAACGGCACAAGGAGCTGAGCGTCGATCTGAAGGCCGCGGGCTCAGACTTGACCAGAATCAAAACCGCATATACGGTAGAAGAAATGACGCAGCGTACGATGGAATGCGAAGAGAAGGTTCAGCGGCTGCAGGCGCTTCTCGAGCCCCTCCGGAATGGCGCACCGCTGCTGAGCGAGGCAGAGCTCGCGAAACTCGATGCCGACGTCGCGCGCTGGCACAAAGAGTGGCTGAACCGACGGAAAGTCTTCAATCAGTGCGTCTTGAGCGTGGCTGTACTAGTCGTTTGCGCTGATCTTGAGTAGGTTCTGGGGGATGATTACTGAGGCAATGCCGCCACAGGAGTCGAATGAGCTTCGCGAGGACCTCGATATCGAAGGCGATTCGCCGGAGCATGTCAAGCTCGAGAAGGCTTTGAACGCGAAGGGAGGCGCAAAGTTAGTGCGTAAGGCATCTAGACAACGCGGGGCGATGTAATCCTTCTGTTGAATATGTTATCGGGCTCAGTGTAATGGACTGTGACATCTTGGACGCTTGCTGCATACTGTATCTCTAGACTTGTATCTTGTAGGCCTGTTATTCTCCACCATCTTGTAGCAATATTGCTCTCTGTATTGCTCGCTCTACTGTCTATGACTAGTTCTCGTCTACGGCGTTCGCATTGAGGGCCGCGGAGGTGAGCGAGGAACATCCCCGAAGCATTCCCGAGACTTGTGGCGCCGCGGCTTCGCATCGCAGGTAGGTACAAGCTTAACGCCCAAAGTCCGACAAAACTCCGCATTAGCATTACATTTGAAGATTGAGAAAGAATACACGGTAATATTACTAGGTATGAAGGCGCTACAAGGGCAAAGGTAAGGTACAACTCCAGTCGGTGGGATACAATGATATGTTCAGCAATACAGTAGGAAGTAGGATATCCAGGCTAGGAGAGAGTCGACCATGTCCGGCAGGGCTAATACAAGTATTATAGTAATAAGCATAGGTGGAGAGGGAAGAGGCATGATAAGGACACGAAGATCAGTAGGCGCTTAGAAGCGAAGCATGTCAACATGACGCGCCAGCTCCCTCTCGACAAGATTGTCAGGCTTCATGGTCAACACAAAGCGGAAGTTTGAAGGCATCCGGTCAAGCTGCGCTGCGAGAACTCTAGGTAGCTCCGTTCGCTCGGCGACAGTACCTTTGAGGTCCAGTCCATCGATGACGACGACAACGGGTCCCACGACGGAGAGCTTGTTTGCCGGCTCTTGAACAAGCTGGCCAAACAGCTGCGAGCAATCCGAGGAGAACGCCAGATCTAGGTTGCCCGTGACGGATGCGCGCATCGCGGCAGCACAGTGCACGTCGAAGTTGGCGAGGTCGCGTGCGAGAGTAGTGATGCACATCTGCGGCGGGCGGTGCATGCCTCGGCCGTCGGAGACGTCAAAGGTGAACGAAGAAGCGAGGCGCCCCATGTGAGAGTACTGCTTGGCGATCTCCCGCGCAATAGACGAAGCGCCATATTCTTCGCCGATGACGAGAAGCGCGCGCATATCGTCCTCACAGGCGGGATCTTCGATCCACTTCTGAACATCGTCCACGACGTCTGCTCTGAGACTTCGCTTCGAGTTCGGACTCCTTGGGTGAAGAAGCGAGTATGACGCCGTGGAAGCTGTGCCAGCAGAGGTCGTCGGGCACTCGCTCGACACGTCCGATTCGTCCTCGCTGAGAAGATGATGGATGGCGATGTCGGTCTCGCAAGTATCGCGGTCGCAAAAAGCAGCCATCAATCGTTTCACTGCACCTCGGAAGCGCTGCACATGTGCCCGTAGGTTGGAGACCGACTTTCTGTCTGCTGCACCCGGTATGAGCAGCCATGTCACAAAGATAATAGTGACGAGAGGACTCACGGGCATATAGGGCATCCGCATAAGCGCGCATGAAACGACAGCACTCCGTAAGCTGGCGTACCAAGCGCGCCAGGATGTCCAGTCGATGATCATCTGATTCTCGAGTGTCATGCCAGAGCTTCGAGGGTTCGGACTTCTCGACGAATGCGAACGTGTCGCTGACCGTAGCGCGCAGCTCCTGCATAACCTCGTCGCGCTCGATCTCATCCTCGGCAGCCTTGGGCTGGGCGTCAATGGCGGTGTGGAACTCAGCGAAAGAGGCGCTCACGCGTGGTATCTGAGACAATAACCGTAGAGCCAGCGTAGCATAAGGGTGGATCTGCAGCAGGAGTCAATTGCAGTGTTTCGCAAGGGTATCAAGACCGTACTCACATCAGCAATACCATCCACTGCACGGACGACGTTCACTGTGGCCCGTATAAGACGGCTCCATTCAGGTAAATGGGGTCCGGGCGATCCGCAACGTGGCGCCTCATAGGCACCTGTAGGCTTCCGAGCCCTTCTGGAATCGACGCGTGCAAAGGCGATCTCGACGGTGATGTCAGGAAGATGTAGATCTTCACTAGAGCCTCGCACGCGCTCCATCTTCCAGACAAATGGCGGCCCATCTGGGGCGTGCATCGTCAGAAATAACAAACCTAGACGAGGGGGTGTGCGCTTACCGCCTAAAGGAACCTCCCTGCGAAGGTCGACGGTGAGGGCTTTGGTCGCGATGACTTCAGGATCATGCCAATGACGGATCCCGATGACTCGTACGGTCACAGGTATCCCACCAAAGTCCACTGGTCTACAAAAAGTTGAGCAAGAGGTCGTGTGCGCGGTACAGGGCTCGAAAGACGTACATCGAGCCGAAAAGAGTCTCATTCCAGGCAGGGTTCTCGTCCTTCACAGGCCATCTTGTCGTCCTTGTAACACCGCCGATCGATACCTCAGCGATATATTTGGCGTGGCGTACGCTATGGCCCAGCCGTGAGGGTAGATTACGTGCTTGTACGACTACAGCAAGCGTATTGAGTCGGCTTTCTTATCGCATCTGCAGCATCGCAGCCAAATGGAAATAACTCACTTCGACAGTCGAACATTGCTGGCACAGCCTGACGTCTGAAATTGACACATCAGCGTCTGATTATCCTAGAAGCGTATACACTTGACATACTTCTCGCATGTCTCGCATGCATCCAAGTCTTGAGCAAGGTTCGATGACGGGTTGATATCGGGCGACGCCTGGGTGTGGCCGGTCAGGTGTGAGAAGATGCGAATGGTTTAATCGGAGCTCACCCTCATGGTATTGACGGTCCTCCTTCAGGGGCAATAGTGCTGACTATAACGGCGACTTGAGGGAGAGAGAAGTAGTGGTAGATCGTTTAGAAGCTGGCTTGGGAAGTCAATTACTGCGCTTGAAGCGGTATATGAGGGACCATCGGCCGATCCATGTTCTGTGTGTTTGCCACGAGCTGGCACGAGTCTGCCTGGAGGTGCACTAGTCGCATTGAATGCGTGGCGTTTGTATGATTTCCTCCGCCACTCCGGACTTGTCTTGAGAAAGAGAAGCCGGCTCTCCAAAAAGACCGGGCGAATGGAAGGCTCGACGACCGTGACTTCGTCGAGGTGTGGCAGCTCTCACTGTAGACAAAAAGACCCCCAGACAATCCTGTCATAAGAACAAGAGCCCCGAGCGGTCCCATGTGAGACTGGGGCATCTATTGGATATGATCGACGTTCCTTAGGTACAGCTTTCTGGAGTTGCGATCTCGTTTATCGAGAGATAACGCCACAACTACAGCCGTAAAAGCAAGGTGCTGGAGTTATCAATGAGATCATAGGCATTCCATCAAGCACGCCCACACCGTGCAGGCAGGAACCACTGCCGGGCGAAGGACACGCCTCACTGTCCTACAGACGATGAGGATCAGATCAGCCAATCCCAGAGTTAGTCCAATGATATGCAAAGGGCCGCGTTGAGCACACGAGCCTACCGGTCGCTATTTTGAAGCAGAATGGAGTCTTATGACGACTGCAGGAGGTGATGGTGGTAGGAGAACAACAGGAGAGATGTGCGGGACCGGCCGTCGAGACGCTTCGGGTATCTCCGCATCACCCCGAGACGCGGTCCCGTTACCGGCCCGGTCGGAGTTCTCACTCGCGCCTTCTCCTGCCTGTCGCTTTCATTCATCTCACCGCTACTACCCTGAGCCCGTCTCCCGGCATCAATTCATAGGCATTCACAGCTCAAGCCTATGTGCTCATCTAACCAGTAGCTTCGTGGACGCGTAACATAGAGAGCAATCTCCACTCAGCACCTCTTTGCGACCTCTACGCAGTACGATTCGATCGTTCATTATTGCATACCAGCCTCCAGGCGTGAGATATAACATTAGGGCCAGAGTGGCTATGTATACGTGTGAGAGCTATTCCTTGAGAATCAGAGGTTCAAAGGCTCAAAAACCGCGCTCCTGCCTCGCCGCGCGAACGGGTGCAGTCATCGCGGCGCGAGCAGGTCCTGCGACTGGATGACGCGCGCGCGTTGGATACGGAGGCTTGGATGCGACCGGGCGCTCCGCGGGCTGGGCGAGCGCGTTAACTGTCGGCCTCGGACCGCCCTCGCGCTGACGCTGCGGTATGGGGGTCGGGTGCGTGGCGTGACGTTGTGCTCCCTCCGGGCGCGCAGGATTGACTTGCGCGAAGTTCGCAGGCGTGGCTGCCTGCACAGCACGAGGCGCATCTGTGTATAGAGCCGCGCTAGCAGTAGCAACACAGTTGCTGCTCGCCGGTACCCGCGGGCTGTACGGGATCGACGTGATGGGACCCGCACTCTCCGGAGGCTGGCTGTAACTGAGCGTCTGCCCGTTGACGACATACTCGCCGGGGATGTCCATGTCGTCACTCGCGCAGGATTCGAACTCGCCCGGACCGGCGTTGTTCACGGTGTACTTCGACGGCATGTTGTACGCGCAGCCGATACCTTCATCATCCAAAATATGTCAATAAGCGCTCGAAGGAAAGGGAGTACCACACTCACGGTCGAGGCGGTTTTGGCAGAAGCCGCCGGGGTTCTTGCCCGCGGGATCGCAAATCTTGATACAGAACTGCGACCCGCCTATTCGAGTGTATCAGCATGCGATCACAACCTGTCATGGTAACGACTGACCCATGAAGCTGAGATGGGATGGCGAGGTTTGAGTATAGTACACGGGTGAATAGGACGGAGACGCACTTGGTCCATTCGATAACCTGGTGGGGAGCGCTTCCTCCAGAGAACTGTGTGGAGTACATGAGCCCGCCAATAGGGTTACCACGCTTGTGGCGTCAATGTAAGCGCGTCAAGTCCATGTGCGTGAGAGGTGCCAAGCAACACGACGTACGAGATCTTGACCATGCGGGTCCAGCTCACCACCGTAGTCGCCGGCTGCAATGTTGATCTTCGTCTGATCAATGAGACCCGAAATCTGAACATAGTCTGGCGCCTTGAGGAGTTGCACGGCAAGAAGGGTGCCTTCAGGCATGACGCGCGTGCCGTGCCCAGCTTTGGTACACCAAGCGACCATCTCACCCTCCGTGTTTCCGACTGATGAGCCAGGAAGCGGCGGGCCCCACAGGCAAAAGTCTGTCGGAACATGATGAGTACAATCATGGACTAAATAGATGGCCAATGCTCATGAAAGCGTACATGCCTTCGAGAGAGTTAACAAACATGGTCTGGCACAGACTCTGCTGGTTCTCCGTGCTCGCATTGCATTGGTTGTAGCCATATTGTGGGCCGCGGGCTAAGTTTGTTGACGGATCGGCTTTATACGGCTGGCGGCGGCACAGCTCATCAGCGCGCGCACAAGCATGACTGAGGTTGAATGGGACGCACCGCATCTGAGGGTGTAGGGTAGCGCAAGTCCGCGAGCGGCGTCGCAGGGAAGAGGTTGTCCTGAGCCATAGCGCGGAATGTCAGGACGAGAAGTTGCAGGAAGGAGAGGTATCGCATGACGAGGAGGATGTGGGTGTAGAGGGAACATCGTGGAAGAGCTGTACGCACAGTATTTACGACGATCGGACGCCATCCAAGCAATGTTCAAATGGGTCGCTGTCATTTGGTAGACAGACGCAATGACACCCTCTGCGAGCGTAAGTATCTGATAATCGAAGCTTTCGACGCCGATATTGAAGCGATGGCGCACAGCGACTCGCCAACATGTACCCCATATCAGTGCTTCTTCACGGACACGCAGTAGACGGTACAGAAGAAGAGCATTGCATTTAGTTCGTGTAGACGGATAGAGGCATGAATGCGAAGGGGAGACGGGGATCTCCATGACGTCACTAGTACACATTCGCATGGATCCGTCCCTACTATTCATCGGCTAGTAACTTGACACGGAGAGGCATCCCCGGATGCAAGTCCGTACCGCCTTTGATCCCTGGCGTGATCAAAGAAGCGAATTTCCATTCTATCTCATGCTCTGTTGACAGCGAGAAAGCGAACGCGGGCACCAGCGTCGCAAGGACGGTCTCTAAGAGGCTGTTAGTTGGTCCTTTGGTAGCGTATCGCAAAGAACAACGCACTCATCTCCATGATGGAGAAGTTGAATCCGCTGGGCACAACGTCAGCACGGGGTTCTCTAGGTGGTGGCTGAGATATACGTACATGCATCCTTTGATGCCGCCGGCAAACGTTAAACTGTGCGACATCCGGACGTCAGTCGCAACGATCTAAAAGACACGAGTACCTCGTGTATGGGCTCAAGCACTTACAGATGCGAATATAGCCCAGGCACCTTCGCCTTTAACAGACTCGTGGGAAGCGGATCAAGCCAACGTCGAGGGCGCCAAACCTGCGCATCACTGCCCCAGATTTCCTCGTCCATGTTTACTCCATGTATATTGACCAGGATCTCGGTCCCTTTGGGCACGTATAGACTTGTACCGTCAGATAAGGAGAGTACGCTCTCTCTCACAGAGCTGCCAAGGGCGGCAGGATAGGATAAGCACTCCGTTCGTCCAGACATCCAATGACAGTACGCACTGCCGGTTGCGAAATGGAAGAGGGGCAAATACGCGCAGCGTCTCCTTGCATACTGCATCGAGCAGAGGCAAAGCCATCAGTCCATCGTATGAAAGACTCTCCTCGCCACCTTCTTGGCTTCGTCGAGCATCCATAATCTCTTCGCGAAGCCTGTCCTGGAGGGATGGATCCAATGCCAGCTGATGGAGGATCCGGCAGAGTATTGTACTCGTCGTCTCCGTACCTCCGAAGACCAGCGTTGAGGCTTGCGCGCATATTTCCTCGTCGGAGGCTCGGCCTGTGTCACCTGCGTCGACTGGGTTCTTTCAATCATCAGCGCGAGCAAACATAGGGCAGAGACGCACAGAGCGCGCCGAGTAGATCCAGGCTGGGTTGGCTAGACTCGTTGCGCCAAGCGTTGCGGGCTTTGGATACTACCGCTTGGATCTCCCTACGATACACGGCCTCTATGTGTAGCAGATGGCGTAACGATGGAGAAATCAGAGAGATCGCGGCGCCGGCCAGGCGCAATACTCCAGATGGAAGATGCGCGCCGCCACTCAGGATGAAGATCGGCACGACCGAGCCTAGAGCACCCAGAACTGGTCTATATCGGTTGTGCGATGAGTTCGATCGTTGCGCGAAGGAGAAATGATAGCGTACGATAAGTCTTTGACGGCGCGCACATACTCTCCTCCGTCACCTTCCATGGCGCTCCAACTATGCCCGAAAGCGGCTCTCGATATCATGTCCAATGCTGCACTTCCCAAAAGGCCTTCCAGCTCCACCTCGCGCTCTGGTTCTCTTTCCTCGTGGGCATCTCGGGCAACCTGCTCGCTGAGTGCAGCGCGAAGTTGAAAGGCGACGTCCTGGACGAGTGGAGCCAGACGTTTGATCTGGGCGCTTGAGAAGGATGGGTTGAGTAACTTGCGTTGACGGCGATGTTCAGGACCATTCGATGCGATGAGACCAGGGCCGAAAAGATAGCGCATCAGGCTGTGTGAATACGTGCGTCAAGAGCCCTTCCAATCAACTGAAGCAATCACTCACTCCAGGGATCCAGAAATGTCAATAGCCGGAAAAGTGGTAACATTCTTTATCAGTACATCGGCCAATGCGGATGGGTCGGTGATAACTAGGATTACGTCCTGGTGAGGCGTCAGAACATTCACGGGATGAGGATATCCATTCCAAACGCTCACTCCAAATAAGCCGTGGACCTTCGTGACGCGCCCATACTGTGATAGTGCGTTGAAAGACGGCAAGCCAGTCGCTGAGTATAGATCGGGGAGGTTTCCTGTGAAGAAAGATGGATTCGGAGGACCGCGCACGGAGCGTAACGCTCTACGTCTGACGTGACGTGCATATGCGCCCCGCACAGCGAAAGTCGTTAGTGTTGCAGTAACCAGTATGAGGATAGCCTGTACGGCGTGTTGAATGAATTGCCTGGAAGGAAACATTCTGAGGATAGATTGAGGTCTTCCTGGTCGATATAGTGTTTCTCAGTCCGTTATGTATACCCATAGGAGCCAAGAGGCCGACGGGAGATACAGTGCCCGGCGGGTGTCTTAAGCAGAAGGAAGTTGCTTGTAGCAAAAGGCGAGCTAAAAGGAGTAATCGCTTCATGGGTTGAACGCCGCAGGGTGCGGCGTGGCTGCGCTCAGTGGTCATGAGCGAAATGATGTTACCATGCCCTCTTCAAGCGGCAACAGCTCAGCCTGTTCAATCGATCAAAGAGGCGAATAGAACCATCGAACGACCCGAAGGGTCTATGGCTCATTATGGGAGGGTTTTGACGTGATATCGCCTTCTAAGCACAAGCTGCGAAGATAGCGACGAGGTTCTAGACGCATGGGTACGCCGTGGTGGGGTCTATATACATCGGCGACTTTCGGGCATGGGTCAGCAAAACCGTTCAAGTGACCGAAGTCAGTGGCTCACTATGGCGTGGATGTACGGGGTGGCGCCCACGACACCATATGACACGACGGACAATTGTACATTTCTGCGCCTCTCTGCATCTCCGAAAACTTCGTTCGAAGTAAATCCCAACCCTTCCCTTCACCGACTGACGTGTCCCGCCCGACAGCGACAACGCCGCGCATCTTCTAATCGACGTATTGATTTGCTGAGCATGTGGTGAGAGCAAAACTATAGCATAAGCACCACAGTGCTAGTCTTGCGGCTCCAAAGTCGTTCTATGTGTTGCCACATGATCTGTAGTAATTCGGTTTGGGAGCGGATGAGCCTGGATGAGCGCGAGAAGCAAGTCTTGAACGAGCGCGCCCTCCTCGTACCTGGCGCTTGAAGTTTGGATCGCCGCGTTCAATGCCTTCATCCCAGACAACCATCATGTCCCAGCTGTCCAGGCTCATCGGGTTCTCTCGTTCGGGCCGCATGTTTGCTTACACTACACTCATTCTTGAGGGATATCACCGAGTCAATTCAGATAGCCAAAACTTCCTGTCCATGTAACCCGTAACAACAGATACTCTATGCTACGGAATTCCGACAGCGATATCATAAGACCTCTACACGCAACGGCATACGCGGATGCAGGCTCTTCTCGCCTTTGACACTTGGCGTCATTGTTGGGCCGAATCGCCATTCGATTTCCTCTTGCACTGGCAGGGAGAAGCGGAATACAGGGAGTATCGTCACCAGGACTGTCTCTGCGCAAGTCATGAGCTCGTCACGGATTCCTATAGTAAATGAAGGCCATACTCATTTCTAGCAACGAGAAGCCAAACCCTCTACGTATGATACGTCAGTCGATGGTCGCATAAAGAGATTATGCTTGCTCACATGCACGACTTGGGGCCACCACCGAAGGATAACCTGTGCTACCGTGTAAGTCTTCTGCTTGCAGCACACCAGGCTGTCTGATCTCACATATTGCCCCAGACGCCCGGTATCTTCGTCACACCCTGTGGCAAGGATTTCATCCATCGCTCGGGTACCCATTTACGCGCGTCTGGACCCCAGAGCGCCTCGTCGGTGTTCAGGCAATGAATATTGACCAATATCTCTGTATTCGCGGGTACATGCAGACTCGTGCCATCCGTAAACGGGATCACGCTCTCTTTGATCGATCTGCACAACGACGAAACAGTTATTCCTACGATCACGGCAAGGCCGGCGGCAAGGACGAAGAACGAGACTCACCGTCGATGGCGATATGGTGCCGGTGCGAACAAACGAAGGGTTTCCTTGCATACAGCATCCAAGTAAGGCAAGGACATGAGTGGCTCGTACTCCAGATTACCATTCTGCGAGGCCGAAGCGGCTAACGCCTGCGCGATCTCATTGCGCAAGCGGACCTGCGCGGGAGGATAAAGCGCAAGCATATGCAAAATACGGCACAATGCTGTGCTCGTAGTTTCCGTCCCAGCCAGTACGAGCTCTGTGCTATGCGCCACGAGGACATCGTTGGATATATGACTTTCCCCACTGGCCTGTACTGTCGTCGTGAGGTCCGGATAAGTGCTGAGGAAAGCTCGGTCTACCATAGGAGAGGATGCTCACATAGGAATTCGATTATGTTGCCCTGTTCAGAGTTCGCATGAGCACCTTTGAGTGAGGCCGAGGCTTTGCGCTCCTCGCATATCGTATGCATCTTCTCGTACATGAGATCCACGATGCGCATAAAGCGGCGTAGTGGTGGCAGGACACGGGACACGGAACGCCCGGCGATATGTAATAGACGAGGTGGGAGGCTGACGGCGCCACTCAGTACGAAGGGAGGGATCAACGGCCCAAGAGCCGTAAGGGAAGGGCTAGGGCGCAGGGAGCCGTGAGCGGAAGTGGTACGAAGTGGGAAAGGATTGTCTCCATACATGACGTCTTTGACGGCGGACACATAATCATCGCCGTTACCCTCGAGCGAGTGGAATGTGTGTCCGAATCCAGCTTGCGAGATCATCTCACTGTGCGCGTGCGGCTGGATGAAGCGTATAGGATTGGTTTGAATGTGAAACGTACAGTCCAACACGGCCAAACCAATTAGCCAAGTCAATCTCGCCTGAGGACGCGCTCTCCTGCGTACTCCTTGTTACGTCTTCGACAAGCAGATCTCTCAATTGGCGAGAGATGTCGCGCATAAGTGGCGCAAGCCGTTTGATCTGTCCAGGCGAGAACACTGGATTCAGAAGCTTGCGTTGCCGTCTGTGTACCGCGCCGTTGGTGGCAAGCAAACCGGGGCCAGTAAGATACCGATGCATACTGTCACTAATTATACGGTGTCTCAGCAAACATCGGAGGTGTAAAACGCACTGAAGAGGTCCAGATACATCCGCGGCAGGGAAGTTATTCGCGTCCTGCACGAGGAGATGGGCAAGAGCGCGAGGGTCGGTTATAGATAGAAAGACGTCCTGTCATTGATGTCAGTACTACGTTACTCCGTACACTGTAACCGGCACGCACTCCAAAGAGACCGTGCACCTTAGCAACTCCTCCATAGCTAGATAGCGATTCGTAGAAGGGAAGCCCGTCTGGGCCATACAGCTCTTGCAAGTTCCCGGCAGCGAGTGAGGTCCTCGCTGGCCCGCGTACGCTTCGAAAGGCTCGATGTTTCACGCGATGTGCTATGACCCCTCGTATAGTGTTGATCGTGAGAGTCAGAAAGACCACAGCGGCTGGCGCCAGAGCCAATTTGAGGAGAAGTGCTAGGATGGCCATAGCGGGGCGAAATCTGTCGCGCTCATAGCGAGGTAGCCGTGCTATATAGCAAGATCAAAGCCAACAGGACGATCGCCGTTGGCAAACCGCCGGATATGACGGCAAAACCTATGCCGAGAGCGATATCATATGGGCCCGGTTTCTCTGCATTGCTCAGAAACTGCAAGGACTGGCGCAAGGGAAAGCGGATCGCAGACATTTGGAGTGCATATGATGATGCGGAGTCGAGGACATCTCTCCATCAACGTTTCTACGTCCCGGTCGGGTCTGTTGCCGATATGAGGATATCTAGAAGGCCGGAGTATATATCGAGAAGATGATGCTCGTCGAGCCGCGGCTCGTCAGACCACGACGGACCTGCGAGGATGAGGCGGTTTATACCGTCCAGCACGCGCGGGAGCTGTATGAGATCCAGAACCTGGATACAACGTGGCCTATTGACGGGCTCGTTATGCTCAACTAGTGAGCGTGTATGACTCAAGTACAGCCCACGGCGACTATAGGCAGGCGTGCGAAGTGTCGGACGCGGTCATGTGAGTAAATATTGATTGCTCCGCGTATTAATGGCGGCGTCAATGATCGCTGGGTAATCCCTCGGTTGTAAGAAGGATACATAAAGGCAAACTTGGATGTACCCCTTCATCGCCTTTCACGCCTGGAGTCAGCGTCGGACCAAAGCGCCACTCGAGGACGTGTTGTGCTGGCAACGAGAATGAAAAGGAAGTTAACAACGTCGCCAACACCGTTTCTGGAGAGATTCTATCAGCGGTACTAGCCTCAAACGTGGAGAATCTAGCTTACTCGTTTCCATAAGGGCGAAGTTGAGCCCTCTGCGAGATAGAGAATGCGATTCAGTCGACGATTTTGCTAGCATTCGGTCGGTGCACTCACATACAAGCCTTCGCACCGCCACCAAAAGACATTCTGATTGTTCCACTTCAGTATGAGAATAACCGATGAACACATTACCCACATGTTTCCCCAAACTCCTGGTATCTTTGCGTCGTGTGGTGGGCTCAGGCGCAGCCAACGTTCGGGTTGCCACTCCTTCGCATGGGGGCCCCAGATGGTCTCGTCTATGTTCAAACCGTGAAGATTGGCTAAGATCTCGGTGTTCGCGGGTATCTGCACGCTCGTTCCGTCTGAGAGAGGTATGACACAGTCGTTGGTGCACCTGTGCACGAGTCAGTTCGCATTGCTATCGCACAGCGATGACAGCCAGGGAGACGCACCGACGGTTGCGGTACGGCGCTGGAGCAAATAGGCGCAGAGTCTCCTTGCAAACCGCTTCCAGTAACGGTAAAGCCATCAACGTATCGAAATCAGGTTCACCCCCGCCCGCCAGTCGGGGGAAGGTACGCGAGAGCTCCTCTCGCAAGCTTTCTTGCACGGTCGGATTGAGCGAAAGCAGATGCAAGATGCGGCAGATCAACGTGCTCGTCGTTTCAGTCCCGGCTATCGCTAATGTGACGGCTTGAGAGGTTGCTTCGTAGTCTGGTATATGGCCGGCTGCTCGGGCTTCATCTGAGATCGGTTCATTGAGTCGGGTTATCATGCAACAAGAGCGGGAGATGACGCACGTAGGATACCTAGAATCTCTCGCTTACCACGACATTCAGATGAGTCGCCGTGTGTCTCCATACGCGTATTGAAGACTGTGCACATCTCCGCATGCATAGTGTTCACGGTCCGCATCAATCGTCGCAGAGGTGGATATATTGCAGATACTGCATCCCCGGCGACTCGTAAAAGTCGGGGAGGAAGCTGCGCAGCTCCGCTCAGCATGAATAAGGGAATGATGGGGCCAAGATCCGCGAGCGAGGGCCTAGAAGAGAATGTGACAATACGATCAGGTTGGTGGGACGCATAAAGGAGAACCCACTACTCACACAACATCCTTGATTGCGTGGACAAACCTACCGCCGTCGTCTTCTGGCTCTAATGAGTGGAAGGTATGTCCAAATCCAGCTTGTGCAATCATCTCGCTATTCGATTGACCTCACTGTGAGATCACGCTTCATAGAAAGCAAAGAGGATACGGACAGCCCTGCACGCCCCAACCACTCAGCGCAGTCCATCTGGCCGACAGGCGCCCCCGCCAATCTGGTAATGATGACATCACGTAGTCGGCGAGATATCTCGTGGATGATCGGAGCGAGGTTTCTCATTTGAGTGTGCGAGAACACCGGATTGAGAAGCTTGCGCTGGCGCCTATGGATAGATCCATTCACTGATAGCAGTCCCGGCCCGAGTAGGTATAGATGCATGCTGTTCTCGCGATCAGCGTCAAGGCACAAGGTTCAACACGCGGATTCGGCGACGCACTCCAAGGTCCCTGATACATCTGTAGCCGGAAAGTTATGTGCGTCTTGAGCGAGGATATGGGAAAGAGCCCGCGGGTCGGATATGACTAGTATAGTATCCTAGACAATGTCATCAGTTGTGAGCGCGTGATGCGATATTGAAAATGCACCCCAAGAAGACCATGAATCTTTGCGACATTCCCGTAGCTGGATAAAGACTCCAAGAAGATCAGGCCATCAACAGCGTAGAGCTGATGAAGGTTCCCAGTGACGATCGAGCCTTTCGCCGGCCCTGGTACGTCGCGCAAGACCCTGCGTCTCAAGCGCTGCGATAGAAGGCCACGAGATCCATTCACGATGAGTGCTAGGAAGGCAAGAATAGCGGGAGCTAGTAGCAACCCGGGTAGAGGTGAGAGGAGCGTCATGTCCCCGACTCAAGGGAGGACGTACTTCTTGTCAGCCATGAGGTTGGTATATATAGCAAGACGAGAGCTCCGGTAGGTAATGCTATCCCCATTTGGCATGGCTTTCGAAATACGGTCAGACTATTCCCGCGAGCAAGCCGGCGACGTTCGGTCTGGGACGGAATACTCGGATAGTGAGTACACTTGGCTTCGTATAAGAATAGGATATTACTCACCTCCTGGATTTGTTTCGGGTTTGCCTTGTGGAATAAATCATACAGGATGGTATCCTGAACCTCCGTTGACCTCCGTCGCATCATTCGCTTAGGCAATAGCGCTCAAGGCTGTACAGCGCGATCGCCGGAAACCGCTACAGAACATCCCTGAATGTGATATCTGGCCGGTATTCTGCTACACCTGTTTTCAATACCCAACTATACAATCTTCAGCATCTTCCACAAACATGAAGACGGATGCGGCGATGCATAGTGATCGCAGCAGCTTGTCAACCGAACACCAATGTACCCCGAGGCCGCGTGCGTCTCGTCTTTGGAGACCGGAGACCGAGACCGCCTGTGTTGCGTAGATGATGGTCGAGAGGTTGCAGAGATTGCAGAGATGTTCCACTTCTTGGCGCAACTGAGGGGTGAGTTTTTCAGCAGTGCTGGAAGTAGCCCGTGATGACTGGCACCCTCGACTCAAACTGCCGTTCGCACGCAACCAACACATCCAGCGTCTATCGCACTCGTTTCCGAGCGGAGGGAGCCTTTCCCTCTACACTGCCATTGTCCATCGTGTCCCTCGCTCTTCCACGCCTCCTTATAGGTCCTCGGTCCTATCAGGCCCTTTCCCCTTCGCTACGTTCTTCGCGAAGTCGTGACTGAGTAGGCTACGGAAACGGATTGCATTCGAGACTTTGCTTCTAGACTAGACGTAGACATGCAGAGGAATAGCGTGCTATGTGTTGTCCCAAGCGCGGAGCCCATGCGCTACGGCGTATAGGCCGTCGTCAAAGTCGAGAGCAAGTCGGTGCCAAGTTGACCGTGTTCGGTCGCGCGGATTGAGGCGTGCGAACGCCGTGTCGCGATCATGTGAATATATGACGTGGGGGTGCCAACGATTGAAATTTATATGTACGGCTTATAGCGCTTCAACATGCAGAGGCATACGCGGGTTCAAACCATTCTCTGCTTTGACGTTCGGCGTTATCGTCTGCCCGAACCTCCATTCAATCTCATGATCCACCGGCAACTCGAAGCGGAAGACCGGTAAGAGCGTGGCAAGTACAACCTCTGAGTGAACTTCGTTCATTCCAGTACTAGGCGGACTACAAGAAGCGACACGTACTCATCTCTAAAAGCGCAAAGTTGAGACCTCTGTGTCTATGCATTAGCCTCACGCGTTGTATACGCAACATCAAGACGCACATGCACGCCTTTGGGCCCGCCAAGAATGACAGACTATTGAGTAGATTCAGCCGCACAGCCTCACACTACAGCAGTATAGCTTACATATTTGAGTAAACACCAGGGACTTCCGTTACACTGGGGAGCAAGGCCTCAAGCCAGCGCTCAGGCCTCCATACCTTTGCGTCAGTGCCCCAGATGTGGACGTCCGTATTCGGACCGTGTATGTTGACCAAGATCTCGGTCCCCGAAGGTACATATACCTTCTTTCCGCCCAAGAGCGGTACAGCACTGTCCTTAATGCACCTGTGATCACAACTATCTAGTCAGTCACCGTGGACCAGGAGGAGCGTGGCTTCGAGACAAGCGTACCGACGGTTGCGTAGAGGCGTTGGGGCGAACAAGCGTAACGTCTCTTTGCATACCGAGTCAAGGTACGGTAGAGACATGAGAGTGTCGTAGCCGGGTTCCTCCGTGTGCACATCGCTGGATGCCACTGACTGGGTGATCTCCCGACGTAGCTTATCTTGCACTGCGGGATGTAACGCAAGTTGGTGAAGAGTGCGACTCAAAGCTGTACTTGTCGTCTCTGCACCTGCTATCAGGAGCGTGATGGCCTAAGTATCATTAGTGTTAGCGCCGCTGACGCGTATTATAGCACGTACTTGCGCCGTCAGCTCTTCATCTGATATTTGTCCTTCTTCGTTTGCCTCGACTAAACTTCATATATCAGGGGAAGCGACGCTGATCCAGTCTCCAGACGCACCGAGAGCACTCATTATCGCTTCATGTGGGCCTTCCTTGTGCGAGATCTTGAGCGCCTCGCAGATGGCGCCCATCTCATCGTTCATCAGATCCACGAGTTGCAGTAGATGACGAAGAGGTGGCACGATGAGTGAGGTCGCTTTGCCCATCACGCGAAGTAAGCTTGGAGGCAGACGGGAAGCACCGCTCATGACGAAAAGGGGCACGAACGGGCCTAGGACAGCGAAAGTAGGGCTACAAGAAGCCATCACAACTTAGCACAGGCTTCATAAAGTCAAAGATGGATCGTCCGCACATGAGGTCTTTGACGGCATGAACATACTTATCTCCGGTCCCCTCGAACGCGTGAAATGTATGTCCAAGTCCTGCCCTCCCTATGAACTCAAGCGCAGCGCGCCCTAGTTCTTCGGCCATGTCGATGTCAAGACCGCGCGGAAGTTTCGCTTCATCCCCAGTCATTCCACTGAGAATGGAGTCTCGTAGCTGGCCCGATATCTCAAGCATCAACGGCATAAGATCCCGCATGCGTGCATGCGAAAAGAGGGCGTTCATAAGCTTGCGCTGGCGGCGATGTTCGGGACCATTCGTTGAGAGGAGCCCGGGGCCCAAGAGGAAATAGTTGATACTGCAACAGGTGCGGTCAGTGCCGGACTGGTACGAACTCGTGCATAATCATAAGGTGGACTTACTCGAGAGTCCCTGACAAGTCCAGAGCAGGGAAGTCATGGACGTCAGTGACCAGGATGTGTGTCAGCGCAAGCGGATCTGAGATTGCCAACAGCACGTCCTGATATCTCCGGTCAGCCTAGTGGCTTCGAGCAACGTGATTCGCACGTACTCCAAACAGGCCATGAACCTTCGCGACACCCCCATAATCGGTCAGTGCTTCGAGGTGCGGGAGGCCGCCGACGTCGTAGAGCTCGTGTAGGTTTCCGGCTAAAAGGGACGTGCGCGGTGGCCCTTGAATGGAGCGTAGCGCTGCATGCTTGGCGATACGAGACAGGACTCCCCGGACGATGTTGACCAGTAGAGCAGCCAAAGCTAATGCAACGGGCGCCAGAAGGAGCTCGATGATCAAGATAAGGACATGCATGCCCAGATGAGACGCGGCCGACTGATGCTACTGGACGTTTGCGTATCAGAGTGGCAGGTGATGGGAGTGACAATATCGAAGGTCTACGTTTAGAAGGCCTTCAGATTTAAGTACTAATTACGGATAGGTGTCGGTAGAGTCATCGGACTCACAATCGATATTTCCATCACGCTAGGCATTCTCAACAGCCTTCATGGCGTCGAAGATGATCATCGATGGCCACTGGAAGCAATAGCGCTGTGGTGAGAACACCTGAGAATACTCATCGAACATCGTTTCAGGGGAGGCGTGGAAAGAAAATGTGACAGCAGGGATATACACAGCTTGTACGGACAGGTATGTGTGCGCTACAGCCTACACGGTCACTGTCAGATAACTGAGATACAGGTGAGCCTTCCGCCGGTACTATGGGAAACGCACGCGCGAACTCTTCGAAGATCTAGGAGATGAGCGGTGTTTACATGCCGCTTCGGGCAGGGGCCTTCCGCGCGTGCTGCGTGCATGACAGAAAGGGCGCTGATCACCGATCAGCGCTTCAGCGATTGAGGAACGAGCCTGAAGAGGCGAAGAGAGTGTATTGAATATTTCGGACTTTGAGGGCAATCGGCGCGCTTTGAGGATTGGTAATAACCGCACTGGTGTCTTGTACTGGTCGACTGTGGTCGACCGTCGACGTCCTGAACAAGAACAACGACGAGGACAGGCGCGGCGCCGGCGGCCGCGCCCTTGGAGCGATGCGTGCGAACTCTTCTTCGCGATCATGTGAGTTCCTCTGGTCTGGTATCTCGGCACTACGTACGTGTCTCAGTCGGACCTGAAGGTGTTATGTAGAGCGATGCAGTCGGTACGTATGTTTTAAGGGCTGTAGCAAGGACTGGAATCATATGACTTGGATCTGTAGGGGCATCCTAGGGTTCAAGCCCTTGTCACCCTTCACACTCGGCGTGACTGTCTGCCCGAAACGCCATTTGATCTCAAGCTCTGTGGGCGAACGGAACTCTAGCAATGGAATAAGCGTTGCAAGAACGGTTTCTACATATATTCGTGTGAGCTTGGCGCGTAGGCTAGCAAAGCGTATGGTACGTACTCATCTCGAGGAGCGAGAAGTTGAGCCCTCTGCTCAGGTATCAGCGCAATCCTCTCGTGTGCGACATGAGAGAACATACATGCAACCCTTAGGACCAGCCAAGAAGGTAAGCCTTCGTGAGCCAACATATTAGTGATGATGGCAACAGAGTCATGAAATTGTGCTTACATATTTGCATAGAGGCCTGGCATATTCGCGTCTGCTACGGATTGCGGCAAGGGCTCCAGCCAACGTTCGGGCCTCCACACCTTCGCATCAGCTCCCCATATGTCCTTGTTAGTGTTGACTCCGTGAATGTTGATCAAGACCTCAGTGCCGGCTGGGATGTGAACGGTAGAGCCGTCTGCGAAAGGGACAACGCTTTCTGCAATGCATCTAGGCCACGCGTTGTGTCAGCAAACTAAGGAACAGGATGTGACAAGGTGTGTTGAGTACCGGCGATTACGCAGTGGTGCCGGGGCAAATACGCGCAAAGTCTCCTTGCAGACTGCATCGAGAAGTGGGAGAGCCATGAGCGCGTCGTAGCCCAAACCATTGCCATCCTCTCCTTCTTCAGAAAGTGCCTGGGTGATCTCCTTGCGAAGCCTGTCCTGCACGGAGACATGCTCCGAAAGGAGAAGAAGAATGCGACATAAGGCCGTGCTCGTTGTCTCTGCCCCCGCCATTACTAGGGTCGTACACTGACCTATGGCCTCGCTATCGGAGACGCTGCCTTCCTTGGCGTCGACTGTGCGTGGCAGAAAGTGTAAGCATTTCACTCAACGTGATAGGCGCGAAAGTATTTCGCACGTAGTACGTCCAGTAAGACGGCTTGCATGTCTTCCCTACCCTCTTTATGGGTAGCCTTATGCGCCTGCCAGATAGCATCCATCTCACCCCACATAGAGTCTACGATGTGCATCAAATGACTGAGGGACGGCGAGATGATTGACGCCGTTTGTCCCATAAAGCGCAGCAGGCGTGGCGGCAAGCGTGAGCCACCGCTCACAACAAAGAGGGTGATCATGGAACCAAGACTGGCAATGGTCGGGCTATGTGGCAGTGATATGAGATGAGTGGTGACGAAATACAGGCAAGGAACCACGTACATCATGTCCTTGACGGCGTGTACATATGTATCTGCATCTCCTTGCAGCGCATGAAAATCATGTCCGAAGCCGCATCGCCCCACGAAGTCTAAAGCCGCGCGTCCAAGCCACTCCGCGATGTCTATCTCCTGCAGCTTCGATTCCTGAGACCCAACTTGAACACCGGAGGTTACGTCGTCGATGATCAAGTCGCGCAGTTGCACAGAGATCTCGCGCATTAGCGGTGCCAGGCCCCGAATTTGCGAGATTGAGAACGCGGGATTGAGAATCTTGCGCTGACGGCGGTGTGCAGAACCATTCGTCGCGAGGAGCCCTGGCCCCATGAGGTAACGATGCATACTGCATAGCATTTGAGTAAAAGAGACAATGGAAGAGGTGATTTGACACTTACTCATAGGTTCCCGACACGTCGAGGGCCGGAAATTTCTGTACGTCGTTGACGAGGATATGGGCAAGTGCACGGGGGTCGGATACGGTAAGAAGAACGTCCTAGTGAAACATGTCAGCCAGTTGACTCCTGTCTCTTAACTTAAGAGATGCCGTCACCCCGAATAGCCCATGAACCTTTGCTATGCCGCCGTAAAGAGACAATGCCTCTAGATGGGGAAGACCATCGACCCCGTAGAGGTCATGGAGATCCCCGGTCAGAAACGACTTCCGAGGTGGGCCTGGCACTGCACGTAGCATGGCATGCTTCGCGAGGCGAGAAAGAGTACCTCGTATCACGTTGAATATGAGCGCTACCAGAAGTACCCCGAAAGGTGCTAGTAGAAGCTCTAAGCTGAGGATAAGAAGCCGCATGCTGGTTCGATGCCGCCGGTTGCTCTGAGCGGCGGGTCGTCTGGACGGGGTAGATGGCAGTCTCCTCGTTAAAGACGTCGGGAGACCTTTATACACCTGCAGGTGCATGCAGCGCTCCTCGTTGACGTGGATTGTATGGCTCTCAACGACCCAGACGGCACATGCCCTGCGCTAGACAACAATCGGTGGCACATACATCAAACACGAGTCCGATGTCTCCCCAAAGTCCATAGGCTTTCCTCACAAGTCATCGTAGAAGCGACGCGTTATCAGAGCGTTTTGGCGAGGTAGCCCAACTGAGTCAAGCCAATACCCGAAGATGGACGTCAAGAACAACCGCCTGACGAGCTCGGAGCCGGCGTGGGTCGCACACGCAAAACGTGGGACCACGCAAACTCTGTGTCGCGATCATGTGACTTTTTCGTGGGTGAGCGGTACGAGCGTAACTCATGGCAGTTACAAGCTATACGAGCTCATATAGTCCACAATTGAAGATGAAGCAGGTAATCCGACCCTCACAAGAGCTCTACACGTAGCGGCATTTTCGGTTCCACGCTCTTCTCGCCCTTGACGCCTGGAGTAATCGTTTCACCGAATCGCCACTGGATCTCCAGACTTGACGGCGGCTTGAACGCCATGGATGTAATGAGAGTTGAAATCACAATCTCTGGAAAAGATATCTCATTAGTACCGGTGGAGCAAGACGCGGACTGCTGCGCACTTATTTCGAGGATCGAAAAGTTCATGCCTCTGTTCAAGTTTCGCCATCAGCAATAGACCTGAGCGTCGCGGAGAGAAGGCTTACATGCAAGACTTAGGACCCGCCAGGAATGTTAACCTAAAGGCAAAAGGAGGTCAACTATCGTGTCCTGATGAAAGAAGAGGTAGAGCTCACATGTTAGCATACACGCCTGGCGCGTCCGCAGACTGCGAGTCCCGTTTCAGCCAGCGCTCGGGCTTCCAGGTCTTGGCGTCAGGCCCCCAAAGCTCGGTATCGGTATTCATCCCGTGCACGTTGACCAGAATCTCAGTGCCGGATGGAACACGCACACTTCTGCCGTCTGAGAACGGGATGGTGTTCTCCTTGATGCACCTACGCCGATATATGAGTTGGCATAAGTCACCGTGATGTCGGCCGGATAGATCAGTATCGTACCTGCGATTGCGGAGCGGAGCGGGCGCAAAGACGCGGAGTGTCTCCTTGCATACCGCATCAAGAAATGGTAGCGCCATGAGTGCATCATAGTCCAGCTGATCGCTTCCATCAGTAACAGAAGCCCGCGCCTGTACCATCTCCTGGCGAAGTCGATCTTGGATATCCGGATGTAGCGCAAGAAGGTGCAGGATGCGACATAAAGCTGTACTCGACGTCTCCGCTCCTGCGAGTAGGAGTGTTGAAGCCTGTTGTAGATTGAGGATATGAACCCTATGCTGCATGCGCGATGTCGGAGTACTACACGAGAAACGCTCACCTGATCAGACATTTCTTCATCGGAGACCTGTCCTTCTTCGTTGGCTTCGACTACACATCTCATCAACGTTCTTGCACTTTGTGGCCATTCAGCTACTGCTGTACTCACGCAAGGCGCCCAATAGCTCTTCCTGATCCCCGTCCACACGCGCAGCCTTGCGCGCTTTCCAAATCGCACGCATCTCGTCATGCATGACATCCCTATTAAGCATGATGTGCCGGATTGCCGAAGAAAACAGGGATGCCAGATTGCCTAGGAGACGCAGCATCTTTGGGGGTAGACGCGACGCGCCACTCAGCACAAAGATGGGAATGTACGCGCCAAGCGCGGATTGATTTGGGCTTTGTGGCGGAAATACATGAGCGCACACGCCAGATGGAATTTGGCGCTTCACGTACATGAGGTCCTTGATGGCGTGCACATACTTATCCGCGCCGCCCTCCATAGCGTGGAAGGTATGGCCGAAGCCAACCTGCGCGATATACTCTAATGCGGCGCGACCCAGATACTCCGCGCAGTCCAGCTCGCATACGCGCGGTTTGCTGTCACCAGCACCCTTCTCGACCTCACTGACGATCAACTCCTTCAGTTGGCGTGCTATATCGCGCATGAGCGGGGATACGCGTCGCATGTGAGCGTGCGAAAAGACGGGATTAAGAAGCTTGCGCTGTCGGCGATGCTCGGGGCCTGTCGTCGAGAGAAGTCCGCGGCCGGTGAAGTACTTGTGCATACTAGAGGTATCGTAAGTCCTCAAGGGCAATGCAGACGACGTTGCGAAGAGTACATACTCAAGAGTACCGGAGGTATCAATCGATTGGAAGTTCTGTGCGCTGTTGATGAGGACATGTGTCAGGCTGCGAGGATCGGAAATGGAGAGGAGCGTGTCCTGTCATATCAATTGTGAGCGGCAGAATAACGGCCAAATAGGTAGAACGTACTCCAAACAGTCCATGGACCTTAACAACCCTCCCGTATTGGGAAAGCGCCTCGAGATGGGCGAGCCCACCATGGCTGTAAAGATCTTGGAGATTCCCCGCGACGAACGACTGGTTGCCGGGTCCGTTCACCTTGCGTAGCATGGCATACTTCGTGACACGAGCGAAAATGCCCCGTACGACATTGAATAGCAGGAAGGCTAGCGCGAGTAAGGCGGGTGCGAAGGCTAACTCGAGGATCAAGATGAACATGGACATCGTTGCGAATGGGCTTCAGGTCAGGTCTGGGGTTTGATTACAGCCTGTGCGTATGCTGGGCATGAAGCTTTATATGCCCCAAAGAGATTCATAAGCCTACACCGTTCTTAACCCTACGTCATCGCTACAAGCCGTGATTCTCCTACAGCATTGGGAGAGTAACACTCTTGCCAAACGGACAGAGTTCGCCTGGAACTGGCGCGATGACTGCAGTATCCTCACAGGAATGCGAAAGCTCGTGCCGAGCGACCTCCCGATGCCCCTCTCTAGAAGGCATTGCCTCCTGCGCTTGCCACCGTCGGCTATCCCATGCTTTCTGTGCGTAGCAAGTGTGATCGTGTGGTCGCTCAGGGAGGGAGTCACCCCCCACTGACTCTTCGGCCTTTTCGCGCGGCGTCTGCATGCGAGGACTGGTGCTCGCGTCTCCGAAGGAGATTCGGCTGCCAGCGGACCAGTGTCCGCTCTGGCGTGCCTATCGCCTCCCTCAGCCAGTGGCTCCGAGCGCCTCCTCGATCGCCGCATCCTCCTGTCCCTCCCTCCTCGCTGCCACCTCACTCTCCCTCCACACGGCTCCCATAGCTCCCATAAGCGCCTCGCCCACCAGCTTATTTTGCTCGGCGCTCATCCCCGGAGGCGTGCAAGCTGCCCATACTCCCTGCCCCACATCCTTCACGTCCTTGCCCTCCTCCACCAAAGCCTGAGCTTTTGCAGTCACATTCGCCAGAGGCGAAGATGGGGAGGATGCGACAGCCATGGCGAGCGCGGGGACGTGCCGGGATATGAAGGTACGAAGGGGCCCAAGCAATCGGGCAACTGCGCCTGTTGCGGCCCGTAATTCGTCGGCTGCGACTTCGCGCGCATCGTCTGCCGGAGCACGGGGCAGCTCCGTCATAGGAACCGCTGCACAAGGTGTGCCGGCCCCGTGTGCACGATGAGCGTCAATCAGGGTGCGCAGAGGCAAGATGCGCCCGCACGCGTCGCAGCGCCAGGCGGGCGACGCCATGTGTCTGCGCGAATGTGCGGACAACCGACCCGGCGAGTCGAATGATGCCTGGCATGTTACGCAGACATGGGGCGCACGAGGCTGATGCACTCTCGTTTCATGCACTCTGAGTGACGAAAGCTTTGAGAACACCCGTCCGCATGTGGATGTGCCACACCCAAATACGGCCGTTGCGAGATCGCTGAGCGGTGGCGGAGGTGGTGGCGTCCACATTGTGCCCGGAGGAGGTGCATACGGTGGTATGGGTGCGCCTCCAATGGGGACCTGAGCCAGTACACCCGTGAGCTGTATCAAAGCTGCGAGCTCGCGAAGCGATGGTGTGGCAGGTGCAGTGGCGGCAAAGAGGAAGGCATGATACAGTGGATACTGGAGTTGAGCGATGAGAGCCGGATTGAATGGTTGAGCAGCTGCTGCTTCGAGTGAGCCGATTATAGCGTTACATGCAAGATGCAATTGAGTGTGTAAGGCATATGGCGCGGGTCCTGAAGCGGATACTGGGGCATTTGACGTCGTTGTGTGTGTTGAGGGCCGAGGAGCCGCGGGCATCGTGACCAGATTTGCCGTACTTTCGATGGCAGACCCAGGCGTACGCGTGGGCGTAGGCGCGATGGGCGCCGGGTGAGCAACTGGTCTTTGGGGTGCCCGTTTAGGCGGGAAGAGCAATTCAGAAGTAGCCAGCGCCATGAGAAGTGGGTGTAGCATCCGTGCGACATCCTTCGGCACATGCCCCTGTTCGCTTAGGCCTTGCAGCGTGTCATGGACATTCGCGCCGTCGCTTCCAGGAATGATTAAATTCGACAACATTGATTTAATCAAACTGTTGCGAGCTGCGAGCGCAAGCAGGCCGCGTGCAGTCGAGAGCGCTGCTAGAATTTTCTTCGATGCTATGGGCCGTGGCGTCTCCGCACGAGGCGGCGACTCTGCGAACATGAGCTCGTCGGCACCAAAATCGGGCATCGGCTCGTCGAGCGGCGGCATCGGCGGCGGCTGAACGTGGGCGCCAATCACGGGCGCTAACGCAGGTTCGGGCGCAGAAGCAGCAGCGACGGGCGCTGGTTGGGTGGTAGCGTTGATGTTATTGATCTGGGCAAGAATATTCGCCGTCATGCCCTGCGCAAAGGCCTGTAGGTCCTCGTCGTCCTCAGACCCTTCGTCGTCGTCGTCGTCCATTCCGTCATCCTCATCCCACTCTTCCTCCTCTTCCTCTTCCTCCATTTGTGTATCGGGGCAGCCTAGAGAAGAGAGCGCAGGTGCAAGTACAGAAAGCAGAACCAAAACGAGACGCGAGTGAATGGATGTGGGAGACAAAGCTCACTTGATCGCGACACAGACCTCCGGCCCGGATATCGGAAGGCGGCTTCTTCTCAACGTCCATCTGCCGCAAAGCGCCTTCTTTCGCGTGGTGCAAAGTGTATATCGTTGACCTCTCCATGTATACCCTCATAGAGCTGTCACTCGTTCAAGGCGGCGGGCAGCCAGCTTGTTTCCTAACCCACGTTGAACCATTCGCAAGAGGACAAATCACCGTCGAACGCGCCGAGGAAAGCTACCAGCAGATCCCTGCCTGTGAATTGGAGAGTGAGAGCGATACGTTTGCCTTACGGGTATAGTACCGCGGATGTATCTCCGGGTACACACTGAATGGATAACAACACCGCGATAATTTCCTATGCAGCTCGTCACTCGTCTTCAAGCTGACATTTGACGCCGGAGCTCTTACCGGACTGAACTTCCATCAGTATGTTGTACGAACAACCAGAGAGTCGTGCTCCAAAACTCCACCATGCCTACGGTCACACTTCTGCTTCAACTCGTCAAACTGTCTGTAGAGATAGTCGCCGTGTTAGCGCTATCCTCGCTCTCGCTACATATCGCCCGAGGCGCGCTCTCTCGTCGCACAAAGTATCGCGTGCTTCGCTCTATCCCAGGCCCTCCGCACACCTCATTTATGACAGGGAACTTGAAAAAGCTCTACGATCCCAGTGGAGCGCTATACGGTTCTCTGAGACAGTACGGGGGCGTCGTCAAGATTCATGGGCTCTTTGGGGTACGTTGCTCATCTGCGAATAGGGCGAGACAGTCGCTGACGAATGTCACAGGATGTGTCGCTCGCGGTATCTGACCCACGCGCCCTCACGCAGATCCTCATCCAGGATATAGCCAATTATCCTGCTATCGACTGGTCGGCGATACTCGGGTACGTACGCACGTGTCGGGTCCTGCATCGCGCACTCATGCTTGTATCCAGACTCCTCGGCCCTGGTCTTCTCGCACATAACGGCCCGCCGCACCGACAGCAACGCAAACTACTCAACCCTTCCTTCTCGCCCACCAACATCCGCAAGCTGACGCCTCTTGTGCATGAGATCTCGCGTGAGCTGCGCGATGCGATTGCAAAGGATGTGCTAAGCGGTGGTGCACGGGAACGCGAGATTGACATCGCGGAGTGGTTCTCAAGAGCAGGATTGGAGATGATTGCGCGTGCGGGGCTTGGGCATTCCTTCCATGCGTTTCAAGGGGAAGGAGATGCGTATGCTCAAGCTGTGAAAGCGATCGCGTGAGACCCTGCTTAAGATCTGTCGCTCGCGTATACTCACCCCCTTTTTCAGACCGACATTCATGGAGCTGGGCACAATGGTTCCATTCTTCGTTATGAACGGCGCAGGAGGTCTGCCGCCTAGCCTGCTGCGTTTCTTGGGCAGCTCCGCGGCTCTGGTATCCCCAGCATACAGGCGTATGGTGGACGTCATTCACACGTTGCGAAGGGAATCGCACGCCATCTGGGAGGCACGAAAGAAAGCGCGCAAGGATGGATTGGATGACGGTCAACAGCTCTTGAGCGTCTTACGTGCGTTCCTCTCAGTTTTTGACCCCTTTGCGCGTGTACTGATGAACTTTCGGTTCAGTCGATGCCAGCGGTGAAGACCGCGTACCGGACGAACTGCTTTCTGGACATGCAACTACTACTCTTGTAGCCGGTACCGATACGACGAGTACCGCCCTTTCACGTATTTTGCATCTTTTGACGTTGCAGCCGAACGTGCAAGACAAGTTGCGTCAAGAGATCGTTCGTGCGCAGTCTGCGTCGATAGGCGAAGGCAACATTGACGGCTTGGCTTATGATGCGCTCATGAAACTTCCTTTCTTGGACGCCGTTTGTCGTGAAACGTTGCGCCTCTTCGCCCCGCTGCCCTTCCGCAATCGCCGGTACGTCAACTGGTGTACTTCTTGAGAACGCGTTTTGACCAGGATCCCCGCATAGATCCTTGAGAAGTCACATCGTCACCCTTACGGACGGGACGAGTGTGCACATTCCCGCGCATACCGAGATCTTAGTGAACATCCATTCTCTCAACACGGACGAAAGCATCTGGGGCCCCGACGCACATGAGTGGAAGCCCGAGCGCTGGTTGAAGCCGCTGCCGCAGAGCGTCTCGCAAACCAAAATACCGGGAGTCTGGGGTGGCGCGTAAGTCTCGTAACGGTCCGCTAACGGCTCGACGCTGACTAGAAACGTCCGGCAGCATGACTTTTGGCGCAGGACCGAAGGGATGCATGTAAGTACCTCTAACTCTGGCGGGGGTGGTAGTGTGTATTTTGGCTGAATTATTGCGCGTAGTGGGTTCACTTTCTCTGTCCTCGAAATGAGTACGTGCGACGCGTAGTGTGCATGTGTGTCTTCGCTGATTCTTTCCATCCGCAGAGTCGATACTTGCAACGATACTGCCGGCCTTCCGATTCTCTCTCCCTCAGGAACGTAAGTTGGAGTGGCGCTTCGGCCCAATCGTCGTGCCGGGTGTTCGAGGCGAGATGAGCGTCAACCCGAGGATGCCCTTGGCTGTCGAAGTCTTGCAGGTCGATAGTGTGCCATCCGGGGCGTTCTAAGAAAGGGCGCTTCATTGCAGCGATGCACTTCATTCTATTCCGACCATTCGCCACAACGGGTACCCATATGCTATAGTATCACTACTTCTACACTATATGTGCTAAAGCTATATCCTTGTGACGCTCCAAACTAGCATCCTTGGCCTATCGCCATTCTCAAGAAGAACGCCAACGTCATTCTCAAAGTCCCGAACTTCCGCCCGTACTTCCACTTGAGTCTCCCCAAACACATCCTCCCAGAGATCTTTCCACGATCCAGGCGAGTGCAGCCAAAGACGAGGATGTGATACCCCGCTTTGAACGCAGACAAGCTCGGCCTGTGAACTGGTGGAAGCGACGGACCAGCCGAAGATGCACGCGCCGCGATGTGGCGCGAGAAGGCCCGCGAGCGCCCTAGCAAGATAGACCTGAGCTGATTCGGGAAAGAGATGGAAGATCGCCGACAGGTGTATAGCTGACACTCCATGTTGCAACTCGGTGAGTGTGGTGATCTTGCGCGTGTCCACGTCCGTTTGGGCGGAACATTCATGTGTCGGAGCCGGCGGTGCGGTAGCGAGGTAGGAAGAATCAAGGATGTCGCCTTGGATGTACCGGATGTCTTCGACCACTTCGTCGCCAGAATCCGCGCGGAAGAGCTTGCGACCAAGATCCCAGAACTCTGTCGCCGTGTTAAGCGTGGGACATGCAGGGGTGACAATGAGACTCACCAGCTATGATGTCCGTGGCTATCACTGACCTTGCCGGCCAGCCGTCGGAAACGGCCTTGCGAGTGTCCGTACCAACTGAATGGTTGTCTCGTAACCTATCACCACAGAGGAAGCGAAGTACTTACAGCAGCACCCGACATCAAGAAGGAGCGCATTGGGTCGCGTATGTAGGATCCTCAAGATCTCAGGCCATGCAGGGTTGCGTGAGATTCCAAGTCTGCATCACACTCATAAGCTTGGATTACTTCTTGACAAGCTCTTAGACGTACCCAAGGAAGGTGAAAGAGCGAATAGAACTGTAGGGGAAGACATCGTACGCCTCTGCTTGCACGGAAAAGATATGCTCCCTCAGAGCGTCTTCGTCCTGTATCCCGATAGTCTTCTGCAGGAAAGCGAGCTGCTCGGAATCGAGATGGAGAAGGCCTTGGTCGAGCGCGAGCCGATCATCCAAGTGAAAGTCGCGCGGCATGTTGAGATCGCCGAGGTAGTCCGATTTCCAAAGGCGGCTCGCCTTGACTATATCTATGCCCTCGGACTAAGCGTTTGTCAGTAATGCTATCTCCGAGCACCAGCAGCCGGAACGACGCGAGTTATGCGCGCGCGAGCGCGGAGAATGGACGTGCCCTACTGTGCCATCTCCATGCAAGGAGGCACGGCTGTCCCTAAGCCTGCCGTGATCGGAAGGAGTTATGCGCGTCCGGGCAATGAGATCTACATTCCGGATGTCAATGAAACTCTGCATTGACATATAGGCACGATGCTAAACGGCTAAAGAGCGAGGGGGGCCGGATAAGTACGTACGCACCTTCATCCCGATGCAGCCCTCGGTTGAGGCCGGGCCGATATGAGGAGAGCACTTTAACAGACTGTGACGGCACGGTACCCGGATTACCAGTTGTATAAGTCAAAATATGTATGCGGTGCGAACGCAACTGTCGAGGTGGGGCTGCGATGGCACGTTGCAAACGACGTGGCGGGATCTTCGCCAGCTGTGATCTTGAGTTGGTGTTGGTATCAGCGATCGAGGACATATCAGAATTTGAATCGACCTTCCATACCACCTGTCACCGTTCGGATGGGAATGCGCCGGCCTTACTTAGCGTCGCTCACATATACTTAATGGTATAATCTGTGGCGAAAGGGGATTGTGGCCATGATGCTGGACGTTGTCCTGACTTGTATCAGGCTTGTCGCTCGAGCATTCGCCGTACTGGCCATAACCCTGTTGTCGGTGAATATTGCGAAGGGGGTTGTCAAACATCATGCAAAGCGCAAGACACTCAGTAACGTCCCCGGTCCTCAGCGCCACTCCCTCTTCACTGGCAATCTCGTCGAGCTCTTCGACGCGCATGGCGGGCTGTCCTTCTATGAATCTTTGTCGATGTATGGCGGCGTTGTCAAGATTCACGGACTCTTCGGCGTAGGCTTTCTCCACCTTACGGCGATACAGTGCGAGCTAAGAATGCCGTCCGCACCAGGATGTATCGCTACTAATATCAGACCCGCAAGTTTTGGCTCATATGCTCGTGAAGGATCCCAACAACTTTCCTTCTATCGATGTTGCCGGTTCAATTGAGTAAGCAATCCCGTCCTAGGGGCAGCGGAGTTTGCTGAATCGCCTGCGAATAGAGCGCAAAGATGGCTATTTGGTCCGGGTTTGGTGGGATCGAACGGTTCGCCACATCGACGCCAACGCAAGATGCTCAATCCAGCGTTCTCACATGCGCAAATGAGAAATGTCATGCCGGTACTGAGTCGCATATCTTGTCAGCTGCGTGAAACCCTGGAGGCAGAGGCTGATGGCGAAGTGGACGTCGCCGAGTGGTTTGGTCGCAGCTCTCTCGAATTCATAGGGCAGGCGGCTTTTGGTCACACATTCCATGCTCTGGAAGGAGATGGGAGTGCATATGTCCGCGCGTTGAAGGAGATCATGTACGTCTGCCAGAGAACGACATCATAGTCCGGAGTGAACTCACCGTGGACGAAAGACCGGTTGTGGCCGTCATCGGCCCGATACTCCGATTGTTCATTTTGAGCGGTGCCAGCCAATTATCGCCTTGGTTCCTTCGTGCTGCCGGCCACGCCTTGTCTGCGGTATTTGCACCGCTACGCGACCTCCTCCACATAAAGAAGACTTATTACACCGAGGGTCGTGCTATCTGGGATGCTCGTGGGATTGCATTCAAAGCCAACATCGCCGCCGGCGCCGGACGAGATGACGAGAGCCGAAGTCCGGTGTTGCTCGATGTTCTCCTCGACGAGAACGGCGAGGCTCGTGTCACTGAGGAGGAGATGATATCGCAGATCACCTCTGTCGTATTTGGTGGTACAGAGACCACGAGTACGGTGCTATCAAGGATTCTTCATCTCTTCGCGCTCTATCCGGATGCACAAGACCGACTTCGCGAGGAGCTTTCGGAGGCGCTCGCCGCGTCGCGTCTAGAGCCGGATGGCGAGGACAGTGGGATCAAATACGACTCGCTCATGGCGCTGCCATTTCTTGATGCGATATGCAAAGAGACTTTGCGTCTTTTTGCGCCGGTACCGTTTCGACCTCGTCGGTATGGCCTCTCCGACTATCGTTTTAGACCGCGTAGCTTACGCCTTGGCAGGTCACTGGACGCGGCTATCGTATCGAATTCGGACGGCACAAGCCTGCACATCCCTGCGGATACCGAGATCTTCGTCAATATACACGGCGTCAACACTGACGAGCAAATCTGGGGAGACGATGCGCATGTATGGAAGCCGGAACGTTGGCTTGCCCCGCTCCCTGCAAGCGTGATACATGCGAAGGTGCCTGGCGTCTTTGCCAACCAGTAAGCTCGTCTAGGCTTCTTCGTGGAATCTCCTTCTGACATCGTCATAAACCAGGTTGACATTTTTCGCGGGGCCAAAATCATGCATGTGAGTCTGCTCTCTCAATGCACTTGACAAGATCACTCATATTGTGCGCGGGATACAGAGGGCTGAACTTCGCCTTGGTTGCAATCAGTGAGTAGTACTAGGATTCTACGCCCACAGGTAGCTAAATGTTGCACCCCACAGAAACTATGCTGGCCACTTTGATCCCGGCCTTCCGGTTCTCGCTCCCTCTGGACCACGAAATAGAGTGGCGTTTTGCTCAGACAATCACCCCAAGCGTGAAGGGCGAGAAACGCTTGAATCCGCGCATGCCTCTGCGTGTGGCAAGGCTGAACAAAACATGAGCGCTAGAGACGCCGAACCTGGCGACGTGCACACTCGGCCGCTAGTTGTGATCGCCAAT